CTAAAGATAGTCCCAACTACCTGACCACACGACTGCCGTATGAGAGATGAGCCCGTGAGGCAAATGGATGTGCGGATTGCAGGCACGAAACTAAAGAATTTATAATGTAGTAAATATTCTTGTATATTTTCATACGATGTTCAGAAACAAATAATTGTTTCATGTTCAGAAAAAGTAAAAAAAAAGTACCTTTATAATTTACGACTTATTAGTAATCAAAGCTAGTAATCACAAATGAAGGAAAAAAGCATAGGAAATATAATGGAGTCTTAAAGACCTGTTGTAGTGAGAATCTCTATAAAATGAGTATCAAAATTACAAACGACAATTAAATAAACAAATTGTTTTGCTACAGCTCACGAACTCACACTGCCACAAACTACCTCAAAACAAAACGGAAGCGCCACTCGATTCCCTGTAGCGGAAGTGGATATGGGATATGGAAACCGGGGGAGTGCGAACCGGCTTTATGGTATGAGGGCTGTTCAATAAATTTCAGCACTCTTAAATTGCCAATGCGATGCAGTGGCATGCACCAATGTCGGAGTTGGTAGTCAGTAGCCAGCACCCAGTTCTCAGTGGTCAGTAGTCAGTAGTCATGGGTCCACCGGTGAAATTGATAATCAATCAAATGCGCCGCTGACGCAGCCAGGCACTTAATCACTGTCTGGTTATCCTTTTTGTTTCGCTGGCTTAACTTTTATCAATTACGCCTTTTTGCGACTGACAGAGATGAATCACGGAATATCAGCAATGCATCGAGTCGGCGGCTGGCTCTTTATTAATTCAATTAACGTTGCGATGGTAATTGGTGTGGAATTAGCCGGCGACTCAAGTCAAAAGCCGGCGAATCAGGTGGATCAGCCGTCTTTTGTGGGTGCTCAGGTGCGACAAAAAACCGCAGAGGAAATTTCAAGTTTCCTGTCAAGTGCACAAATGCAATTTTCATGTATCTGTTTGCAACGAACTAGGCAACAACTGGGCTCTTGAGGCATTGTGCAATTAATAAAATGTCCGAGTGAATTGAGAGCAACCGCAGCCGGAGATGTCCGAGAAATCTGCAGCCCTTTCTCCGCTTTTCCCTCTCGAAATTGTCTGTTGACATGTGGTCGAGAAAAGTGCAAGTTCAATCAGCAGCTACAAACTGCCGTCGAGAGTCAACAATCGAGAGTGGAGACCGCAGCAGGGTGTCGCCTCTGCCTGATTCAATTACACAAAAGCCCCTAATCAAAGCAAAGGAAATTTGCTTCTATAATTTGGCTCGCATAAATCAGAAACAGACATGGTTAGTCAGCAGTTCAACCACTTGATACCCTGGACTAAAGTGGTTTGGTGAATTGCAGGAGGCACTGATATGCCTCAATGTAGAGGAGCTGCTCCGAATTATGAGAATTCCAGAGTTTGAGGCAAAGACAAAGACAAACACGGCCACCAGCACAAAGGCTGCCCCCAGACAGGAGTCAAATAATTAATGGCCAGCCAGGGAAGAGATGGCAAACAAACAAGCTTAAAACGAGCAAAAACTCAACTGAAACGAAGCGAAACCAGAAAAAATCTCGAGAGGAAGGTCAACTCGAAAGCGATGTTTCGAATGCACTTTCTTGTTGAAGAGAGTTTTGTTGTTTTAGGACTAGCTGTATAGTAATTTATTATATTTATTTTAATCAGTTATTTATTGGTGTTAAATATTTTTTCAAATATAAAGAGTTTAATAATAAGTTTTTTTATATGTATAGAAATCTAAAAACTTCTTTAAAAATCGTTCTTTTAACTTATTTGGAGGATTAAATCAAGATTAGATCTCCTCGAAATATATATGGTAAATAAGAACTTTATTCTTAAGAAAAATCATGTTTAAATTAGCATACCTTTTGCAAGGGTATCGAGAAAAAACACGCCAAACGGATTTGCATGAGCCAAACGCGGAGTTTGGCGGGAAAAAGGATGCTGTTGGATGGTTGGAGGATTGGAGGATCATGTGTGTGGGACTGGCGGCCTCGTCGGTTGCCTTGGATGCCGTCAGTAGCTTGTTATGCACTGTCCTCTCCAGTGCTCCCGTGGTTGTCTAGACTTTAAGTTGGCTAATAGCCGACACTGATGCTTTTTATTCTGTTGTTTTTTTTTCGGTTGCCACGAGTATGATATGGTATGTGGACTCGGGCTCTTTGGTCAGAAAGCCAGAAATTTGTAGTAAACCGAATTTGTGCTCTTGTATTACTTATTTGGTCCATTATTTGGCTTGGCTTTCGCTTTTATTTGACTTTGGCCTTTTGTGCGAAGCTTTTTGTGGCCCCAAAAACGAACCCTCTGCACTTGATAATGAAATACATAAGCGTGGCTTCTGTGCGAGTGGGTGAAAATCCGTGGGCATAAGGCTTATAACACACACAGGACACAGGACACGGGACACAGGACAACAACGGAAGCAACAGGAAAAGGACTTTATACTGGCTCTGGGGTTCGAGAACTGAACACTGAAACTCGCAGCGAGAAATCATAAATTAATCCGATTTAAGCAGCTCAGTAGCTTATTTTTATGCCAACCAACTCCGAACCACCAGTTTTTGTTGTTTGATGAAAGCGCTTGGCGGGAGGAGGGGTAGTTGATTCCTGCCCATGTCATGTGTTGCATCTTGATGAGTTGCGGCAGCATTTAAAGGAGACCAATTTGTTTGGCAGTGGCTCAAGAGCCAGGAAGCTGACATGATTGGATGCTGACGATGACTGAGATGATGATTCGTTGTCAAGGTACAGGAGCTGGAGCTCTCGAGTGCCAGTGCTCAGTTTTGCAGAGTGCCGGAGTGACGGAGTTCATTCGAGTTCGTCGGGGTTTAGTTCCGCTGCGGAGCTTGTGTCCTGGCAACTAAGGAGCTCAGCCTCGGCACAGGGAGAAAATTAACATGGCATTCTTTTGAACGTTGCATCTTATCATATATCGTTGAAGCATGTCTTTATTATATACACTTTTTACAAATTGAAGTATTGTAAATATTATGTTACAGAAAGCTTGAAAAACAAGCTACGTGCATCTCAGGTATTTAATAAAAAAAGCTGTTTCCCCGAAAGGCGCTTCCCTACCTTAAACAAATAGTTTAAAATCATTTTCATACCCGAAAACTATTTTTCTCACATTTTTGAGATGTTTGAGAACACATAGCCAAAGTTTTTAACGACTTTGGAGGGTGTTATAATTTTTTCCCGTGTGCCTCATTACGAGCAAAGTTTTTACGCAAAATCCTGCGGCGGAGGATGCGGCTTAAGTGCGCCATTCCAAATTCAATTGGGCTTGAAGTGTTTGAAAGGCAAAAGGCAGCCAGCCAGGAGATGTCGCACCGCCGTGAGGCAGCTCAACTCATCTCATCATCTCTGGACCAGGACGACTGGTTGGATTTATGGATGGGGAATAAAAACCAGAGAATGGCTAACAAAACGATTGGGATTTGTCTGGCTTTGTTTTTCGTTGTGTAATCCATAAATATTTCCATTTCAAATTGCGTTATGCATGGCTGTGTGATTTTCGCATAAATTCCAAAACAAATTTGCTCAGTCAATTTTTCACCTCCATTAAATGCGTGTCCAGTTGCACTTTTGGCCAACATGGTTTTTAGTGGCTGCATTGACGGCTATAATTGCAAAAGTGCTTCACATTATCCCATTTAAATTAATCGAAACAGCTCAATTCCATGATAATCCCTACTTACTATATTGTGTTTTATTTATTCTTTGTTTTAAATAGCTCGCTGCAGCTCGGAAAAGAGAGAAGCCGCATAGCATTGACACAAATCCACAGCTGTTTAAATAGAAATTGCGCATTTAGCGCTGGCCACGCCCCCTCCGACAGACCGTCCACACCGCCCACTCGAAGCCAAAAACAAACAGATAAAAAGAGCGCACAGAATTCGTGTTATTTCTGGGCGAACAAAAATATTTACAGATTGTTATGGGGGGCAAGAGCAAACGTACGGGGAACTTTGTGCCAAATATCAAGCTCCGAATCAATAATTCCAAATTATTTGGGCAATGTTTTGGGCTCCCCAGCAATAATAAGGCAATTCTCTTTATGACAAGAACAATAAGAATTCCACTGACTTTAGCTACTGATTAGACTCGCTCACAAAAACAAGGGCCGTTATCAGAATTTGAGTCATAAACGAAATCGCTATGGGTTCCGTCAGTTGCTCTCGCTATATATGATTCATGATTCGCTTCATTGCAAAGTCTCAGGAATTTCATTTCTGTATTATTAACTAAAATATTAGCTCAGCAAAGGCAGTTTTTGTTTGCGATATTATCATTAGATTAGATAGAAAAGTTTATATTCTAGCTAAAAACTTTTTTATAAACGGAAACTGCAGCCATTAGATTCCCATTAATTAGTTACAGCCTTACAGTTGCGAATCGCACTGCACATCAATTGAAAACTAGTCGTATACATCTATTCCTTCGACATTTTCGCGCCGCTAGCGCTCATAAAGTTGTCAAAATGATTTAGCAAATTTTGTTTTGCGTGTCGCCACAAATGTAAAATGTTTCGAGATCTGTTATGAATGTTTAACAAATTTTTAGTTGGGTTTCTGTCTGTCTGTTTGTGTGGGTTTATCTGCCGGAGAGTATGTATGTATGCTGGCATTAATATGGCAAGAGGAAATTTGTTGAAAATTGGGAAAAATACGGCTTTTATTTGCTTTGGGTAACGTGCGCAAAAATCGCACTGAAAGCGACCACAAAAAGTGAAACTTATATCCACGGATTTATTTTTAACAAACAAAAAAAAATACATACGAAAAAAACCAGCGAACACTTAAATACATAAATAAATTAACTGCCCAACTAATATTCGTTTTTCGCGTTTGTTGCCAGCGTAAATTTAATTTCATTTTTCGAAGAGTGTTGCCGAACACACAAATTCCATTTGTCAATCGCCCGATAAGCGAATTGTTTCTGATTTTCTGGCATGTTGGGAAATGGAAATATTCTAGGGGGAGAACCCCTTCACTTACCTTTTGCACCAGCAGGGGCTGGGCGAAGTCCGTGCCCCCCTGAAGGCGGAATCCCCAGGGTTGGGCGTCGAAACGTGACAATTTGACTTGCAGCAGCTGTGGTTGGGCCATCTTCTTTTAGCGCTGACTGTAAGTAAAACGAATAGAGCAGAGGGTGGGTGGGTTGGTTAGTAATAATGACGATAACATGGCGTATACTTGATATCACGTAGGCGACTAATTAATGAAATCAAAACCCCGACGCAGACGAAACCAGGAAAAGCAACTATGACACACAGACGGCGGTGGATTGCTCCTTTTTGGCCACTAATAAAGACATTATTCAGGCATGTCCAGGCTAATCCTGCCAGCAGTCAGACGGCTCCTGCCATCACACATCGCCCCTCCTCCCAAATCATACAGAGTCCTCCCCGAAAAAGGAGTCCTGCCCCAAATTTCCGCCACCCACAACCGGTTGCCAGATGCAGCTGCATGCGGAAAAGCTGCTGCGTCGTTTTGTGTGCCAAACTGAGCCAACATATTCGGCTGACTGAATGCAGCAGGCAGCCAGAAAAGTGCTTTGGAGGTGGGATTGAACTCGGGCATATCCTGGGAACTTTAAAAGGCGGCAGGAGGAGCGATGAAATGTGGAGGAAATGCTTGGCAGAGTTCTAAAGGTTGTTTTCTTAATTTTTCATAGCATTCTTTAAGACAGATTTCAATGAAAAAATTGGCAAATCCTCATTTCAGTTAAAAAATTTTTTTTTAATTTTAATAAAATAAATACTACTAATTTGAGTACCCAATTTTTCGTAGTAAATCGCTATTAACAAATTATTTTAAATAAATGTTATTTATATTTAACTGTTTAATTGTATTTGCTTTCAAAATTTTGTTATTTCTTGTAGTATCTTTTGTTTTATTTCAAACTGAAAGATACATTTTTGAGAATCATATCTCATTCAAAGAATCTTATCATATCCCATTTGTCTCTCCCTATACAGGGTGCTGAACATAAAACGAGTTAAACTTTGTTAGATATCGCCTTTTTTTGCACACACAGAAACTCACACCCCGGAAAGGGGACTTGGAATAGGACTAGGACTGCGAAGGACCCTCTTCCACTATCCTCATCCCCCTCCCTCGTCCTCAGCCACAGTGAGTGCTGTAAGTAAGCGCACCCCAAAACGGCACATGGAGCCGTGTTGTAAGTGTGGCTTACACGGGTTCCCGTCTTTCTTTACGTCCTTGCTGCTGCTGCTCCATGTCCTGCCGCACTTTTTTCCCGTCATAGCTTTGTAATTTGTACGTGCGTTGGAAAAGGGGTGAGCGGGGGGTAGGGGAAAATGGGAAAGTGGGCGGTGGATGGGTGTCTGTTGATTTAGTTTGCTGCATAACAATTTTGCTGAGTGTTGTGTTTTTTATTAGCAAAGACACATTTGCCCTGTGTTCGTTCGTTCGTTTGGTCGTCGGTAGGTCGGTCTCTTTCACTCCGCATCTGGCCCTCTCTTTCCCACGGTAGACACTTAAAGTGGAAGTAACTACATTAAGCTATTAAAACGACAGCAGCTGCCGAGTGGAGGAGGTGGAGAACCTGGGATATCCGCACACATATGGAAAAGAGACATTTTAGCACACACAGCAGTTTAATTAACGTTAAGTGCGGGTGGTAATGGCTCCATCTCGAGTCCAGGTTCCAGGTTTCCGGCTCGAATTCCTGCCGAGAACCAAGAACCAAGAGCACAGGCCGTAACACGTTGACGGCATTTGCATGTAAATACTTTGTACGCCATGAAGTTGGGCCATTAGACGCCCCGGCAAACCAACTGCACATGCACGGGAATAATTTAATTAAAATATTAAATAAATGCCGAGTGGATAGGAGGTGCGGGGGAGGAGAGTACGGATACGGAGGCCAACTCTTCCACGGATTCAAAGTGCCAGACTGAAAGAGGCTAAAAGCGCAACAACACGAAAACGCAAACACGAACGCGTCTCTCCAGTTCCGGGGGATATATATTTGTAGAAGGGAGAGAATGAAGGGGGAAAATGGGAGTTCTTTGGCCAAAGGAGTCGTTTGGAGTCCTGGCTAATTACTGGCTCAAATGCTCTTGCCACGAGGATGCTCTGTGGCTGACAAAATGTCATCGACGATTTAGCACACTGCGAGATTTAACATAGTAATTTTGATTATTAAGAAAATCTTAAACAGTCCATTTAATTTTCTCATGAGGATTTTCTATGTATTTTATTAAATTTGGAAGTTTAAAAACTATAATACTAAGAACTAATTTTGAGACTTCCTTTTACACGATATCTTTAATTTAATAATTGTGAATAATAATTATGATTTTAAAAATTTGTGTTTGATCTCTATAAATTATTTATATAATATTTTCAATTCCATATTGACTTTATAAAATTACTAAAAAATTCTTCAATAATCTTCCTAGTTCTGGAGTTTCAGAAATACTTAAAAAAATCTCTATGGCTTAATCGCACAAAATTGATTAATTTTAAAAGCCAGCATCACTTTTACTTTCCTTAGTTTACTTATCGGTTTGACAAACATCCCTCTCAGAACTTCCAAACCCTTTTCTCCGACGACAAGAGGAGCAGCAAACAAATGATGAAATTTGTTTGGCCCCGGATTAGGCTACTCCTTCTTCTTCTCAACTCGAAACCCTTCCGCATTCCTATACATTTATCCCGTCAGTGGGCCTGACCCACTTTTGCGACTTCAAGTCGGCCTTGGGCAAACTGCGGCGCAAACTTTCCATATGCAAGCAATTTGTAAACAAATTATTTGATCCTCAAACAGGCAAGTTGCTCCAGCTCCAGCAACTTATCAACTTGACGCCGCACAAACAACAACGGGCGGCAACAAATCCAAACTTGGTCAACCATGTATCATTAACAAAGTTGTCCAGTTGGCAATCCCATTGCAGCTTTATGACTAATAACCGAATGCCAGTGGTGTTTCGAAAGGGGTGGTTCGAGAGAGGGGGTCGGAAAAGTCGGGGGAACACGTAGCGGCGTAGTCCGTTTCCGGGTACAGTGAAACATCGATTTTGAGCCGTTGCTGCTGTGGGGCAGTGTCAAAAAACGAGTTATCGCTAATAACTTTTACACACACAATTGGCAAATTACAGTTTATTTATGTGTAGTCCCCTTTATGCAGCTAAACCCCTTTGCAATCCCCCTTTCGAAACCCCCACCCCTGAAAATGCAGTTTGCATTTGATTCGGGGTGAGAGCAACAAATCAATTTGCATGCGGTAATTCCAAAGATTTATTGCCAACGAGCCGAGGGCGTGGTATACTGTGTGTTTTGGTATGCAAAAACTGTAAAATATCCGAAAATTTATAAAAGTTCTTGTGTGTGCGGCGCAAAGGGCGAATTGTAAGCCGATTTCCTGTCACTGAGTGAAGCTGCATAATGGAAGCTCATGAGTTGCCATTACCAGCGAGGAATCAAATTGATTTCCGAGCACACAGCATCATTAGCAGTTGGTGGCCCCGTCGCCCCGCCATAAAAGCCAGAATAATAACAGGGAGATGGAGTAGAAAACAGACAAAGGGGAAAAAACGGCGAAATCGAAACCAAACTGGAACCATCAGCAGTCAAAGTCGATGGCGATGATGGTGGTAGAGATGATGATGATGCTGCCTGCCACTGATGATGTCATGGTGGGTTCTGAAAAGTGTGGGCCAAAAAAAGCGGGAACGAAAAGCGGGAGAAGGCGGTTTTTGGGGTCGACAATTCGATTTGGCCATTTCGCACGCTGCTTTACAGTACACTGAGAGAAAATCTTTATCTAAAATGGTTACTATCCAGAAGGTAAAATTATAAAAAAAAGTTTCTACAAAATATACTCGTTTTTAAGTCAGCAAAATAGTTTTAATTTTTCAAAAAAATAGATGAGGCCCTTGAATTTTTTTACGAAAAGGAAGACCGATTAAATCTTAACCCTTTTCAGAAATATAATCTCTCAGGTAAACAAAATATATATCTATTTAAACCCAATTCCACACCTTCTATAAATCAATCTCCAATTTAATAAATAAACATTTATTATATTTTTACAACTGTTCCTATTTCTCCACGATTTTCCCTCCGTGTAGCTCCAATCGAAATTAGAATCGCTTTCGAAACATAGAGTCTGGTATGGTGTTTATTCTGGAATATCTGTTTATCAAACGGAACAGCTTCAATCTGTAATGAGCCAACTAATTACGTGCTGCAGACTCTAAACAAATCGGGTATTGGGCAAACATTGTGCATTTGGCTAGCTGGCCATTTCAACACATTAATAAACTGCATAAGGGCACAGCTCATTAAAAGCCACTCGAGTGAGGCAGCAACAACAACAGCAACAGCTTTTCCATTTCCCATTTTCCTTCTTCCCATTTACCATATACCATTTGACTGCCGGCTGTCAAGTGGTCGAGGCCCCAAGAAAACTACTTCAAAGATCTTGTTGGTGCTGCTGCGGCTTCTACTGCTGCTGCTGCTTCTGGTGGCTCTTTGGGCCAAACAAAAGTGAAGCCGGAGCGACATATTCACCCACTAACTGGCAGAAGTTGGTTGAAATTAGGAGTGGAAAAACGCAGTCAGCAGTCGGGGAATAACAAGCCATGCAAATGCCATGCCACATATCCATATGTGTGGCAAAGTGCTCTGCAGCCTGGGTTTCGGGGTTTCTCGGGGTTTTGGGGAACTAGTGAACGCGTTGATTTCGCATTTATGCAAATTTCACGTACACTTCAAACTGCTCAACGTTTTTTCGTCTTTATTTTTTTTGTAGCTCCCCCGCTTGTTGCCTCTTCAAGTTCTTCTCTTCACTTTTTATTTTTGTTGTTTGGCTTTTTTCGCAGACGCGCTTTTGTTGGCCTGGCCGAAAACTAAACTTTGGCTGCTGCTGAGTGAAACTGAAGTTGCCGGTGGGGAAATGTTGGGGGAAGGCAGGGGGTGTTTTCAATGGCGAGTCGTAGAAATTCCGCCTGGGGGCGAGTGATTTTTGAATACCGTTCAGACAGCGCTAAGCTGGGGCATATGGAATTAACGGGGTGATTGGGATAGAGATCATGACAAGCTTGTCGTCTTTGAGTAGACAGCCTCAAAAACTTTTAGTAACTTATAGGAACC